CTAGGGAGCTGTGGGACTCTATCTGAAGGGTTCTGCACCCCCAAGCACGGGAATTACAAGGTGTCTCCTCCCGGCATGCCTGGGTTTTTATGTGGATGCTCAGGCACCCATGCTTGCCAGGCAAGCATTTTACCTTCCAGCCCCTGTTTTCTCTTCATCTTTACACATGGTATTGCAAATTGGATTCTTTCATTTCCGATTTGCGTATTTGCAGCTTAAGTTCATTCCCCAGGGAACCACAGGTTTAAGTAGAAGATTCATGCTCTCAATATTGCATCATCTGACTCCACAGTATGAGCTCTTCGTGTCCATATTTAAATCTATTGATTTAAGCAAGAATTACTAGGTCAGTTTTTCACTAGAATCATTATTTAGTACTCCTAATGCATTCCTTCCTTATTTTTTTTATTGTCTGTTCCCACAAGCAGCCATGTTAAAGAGTATTTTGTCCATGTCTTTAGAAGAATTCCTGGTCAGTGAAAGATGGTTAATAGGTATTGCCAAAATGTAACTGAGCACATCAGTAATACCTCGTGTTTGCTTTCTTAGGCTAGGAATGGATGCTTTATGTGGTGTGTGTGTGTGTGTGTGTGTGTGTGTGTGTGAGAGAGAGAGAGAGAGAGAGAGAGAGAGAGAGAGAGAGAGAGAGAGAAACCTGGCAGCCAATTCATTATATATCTGTGTAACAACAACAACAGAGACTGGACTGGGTTACTGACCTTTGAAATGTCTCTGGACCTGATAACTTTTTCAATATAAAATACCCATTTTTACAAATGCTCAGCTGGTTTATAACCTGATTTATTGGAATTTTCTCATCAGGCTCTTAGTAAACTTGTAGGGAAATCCAGGAGTGGAACAAGTTCAACAGATTTTACATCCCAACAGAGGCGATCGCAGACATCAGTAATTGTATAAGACAGAAAAAAAAATTCCTTCTAACTGGAACTTTATTCTAGTTTGTTCTCCTTTAAAACAGTTTCAGAGTTAAACTATAGTTTTTCTAGATGAGTGTAGGAAAGTTCTATGCATTGAGCATTGCTGAGAGGAAACTTTTGATATATTTGACTACGTATGAGATATGACACTTTTGAGATACAGCTTTTTTTTTTTTTTTTTCAAAAATCAAGTTGTTTTCGTGCCTCAGATAAGTTCTCAACATTATTAATCCTTTTTAACACATAACGGAAGTTTTTGTTGTTTTGACAATTCTATACGTGTAATGTATTTTAATCCTATTCTCCCATCATCACCTTGTCTTGGCCCCTCCCTCTCCTGCTTAACTCCTTCCTTTCTTCTTCCTAATTAGCCTCCTCTCTACCTTAATGTCCTGTATGTGTGTGTGTGTGTGTATGGGTATGGGTGTGTGTGGTGTATGTTGTATGTTGTGTGTGGTGTGTGTGTGTATGTGTATGGGTGTGTGTGGTGTGTGTGTGTGTAAGGGGGTGGTGTGTGTATGGGTGTGTGTGGTGTATGTGATGTGTGGTGTGTGTGTGGTGTGTGTATGGGTGTGTATGGTGCGTGTGGTGTGTGGTGTGTGTGGTGTGTGTGTGTGTGTGTGTGGTGTGTATGGGTGTGTGTGGTGTGTGTATGGGTGTGTGTGGTGTGTGTGTGGTGTGTGTATGGGTGTGTGTGGTGTGTGTGTGGTGTGTGTATGTGGTATGTGGTGTGTGTGGTGTGTGTGGTGTGTGTGGTGTGTGTTCCACTGAGTTTAGAGTTGCTTGTATGGTATGAGTGTAGACTTACTTACTAGCGCATGAACAATTGGCCACCGGCTGTATCACTGAGGAAAATGTGTCTTCCTCTCCCGGCACCCATCAACTGGCAATAGCTCCTTGGGAGACTTTTATTCTTACAACATAAAAACATGTATATATCTCAGTTGTTGGATCGCTCTCCAGTTAATCTCTCAAATTCTATAAAATAAAATTCTTGTTCTTTGCCCCAACACTCAAGCTGTTCCTCACTGAAAAAAAAATTTTGCACATGTTTGCATGCTTGTGTGGTATGTGTGTATGTATGTTTTTGTGAGGAATGCACATGCATGTATGTGTACATGTGTGTTTAGACCTGAGATTGAAGTCCATTGTCTTTCCTGATTGGTCTCCACATTATACAATGAGACAGGATTTCATGTTGACCCCAGAACTTTCCATTTTGGCTATTCTGGCTAGCCAGCTTCTCCAACGATTCCCTGTCTCTCCCTCCTACAAGCTGGAATTATAGGGAGTGTGCTGGTTAAGTTTGGTCAACTAGATACAAACTAGAATTACTTGAGAAGAGGAAACCTTAACTGAGAAGGTGCTCCCATCAGACTGGCCTGTAGGCAAGAGTGTGGGGCTGTTTTCTTTATTTAATAATTGATGTGGGAGGGCCCGGTCCACTGTGGGAATGCTGCCCTTGGGCAGGTAGGTGGTCTTGGGTTGTATAAAAAGGAGGCTGAGAGAGCGATGGAGAGCAAGCCAGTGAGCTGTATTTCTTCTCCCCAGTCTTGGCTTTAGGTTTTGCCCCCAAGGACATGCCCTGCTAGAGTCCCTGCCTTGGTTTCCCTCAGTGTTGGACTGTAACTGGGACATGTAAGCCCAATAAACCCTTTCTTCCCCGGGTTGCTCTTGATTGTGATCTTTATCACAGCAGTAGAAAGTTCCAGGACAGGAGGCTGCTGGACGTTGGCCTTCACATCAGTTTTGGGCAGTGGTTCTCAACCTGTGGGTTACAACCCTTTTGAGAATCAAATGGCCGTTTCACAGGGGTCACCTATAACCATTGGAAAATACAGATGTTTACATTACAATTCATAACAGTAGCAAAATTATAGTTATGAAGTAGCAGCGAAAATAATCTTATGGTTGGGGGTCACCGCAACGTGAGAAACTGTATTAAAGGGTTGCAGCATTAGGAAGGTCAGGAACCACTGGTTTGGGGGATCCTAACTTTGGTCTTTATGATGATTATGTAAATTATATGGCAAGCATTTTACCCACTAAACTCCCCCCCCCCCACCGCCCTGGTTTTTCTACTATGCTGTGTTTCTTGAGGGTTTTTATGGGAACTAATGCGGTCTTCCATGACTACTATTTCACATAGTATTAAACACCCCAGAATTACTTTGCTTTTTATCTTTTTTTTTAATTTAGCAAATGTGTTTCTATATTTGTCTCATTGTATAGTTTTTATTTACCAACAAATTAAACTATGTAAAGAATCTTAAAATATTATGGTTAATTTTTCTAGTTTTACATTTAATTTAATTTTCATAAATAATGTAGTTCAACGTGAAAACACTTTTGGAATGATTGACTATAATTATGCATTCATTATGATGTTAATATTGGTATGGTAAGGACTGCATGTCAGTCTTTGTTAATATGCATTATTTCATTCAAAAATAGTTTGCCTATTCAGTAACATATTTTTTCATTTTATATGCAACTGTAAATTAAGCTAGAGTTGCTTAGGCAAAAAAAAAAAGAAAATTCCTGCCACATAATTGGATCATATAATTGATTCATTTTAAAATCAACAGTATGTATTGTATTTGTTCTCTTGGTACACTACAGTATGATAGACAGATGAGAAGTTCATAGAATTTAACATAACCCATCTTTAGTTTTCAAAGTTTAGTAAGACAGACTTAACTTTTGGCTATTAAACAATTAACAATGATATAACCCAACAGTCAACTATTGCAAAAACCAAAACCTTAAAAAGCTTACTAAATTTGAATTAAATAAAAATTAATTTTCTTTTTAGAAAAGCACACTCAACTCATCCAATACTGGGAGAACATTGTGCTTTTTATCCAGAAGGAACATGCCATGAGGCTTTGTGGTAGTGTTGGAATTAATGGGGTTTGAGCCATTAGAGTGATGGGGAGGCCTTCCAAATGAAAGACATTTTACATCAGGATGGATGACTCCTTGGACATAAGAACTGAAGGCGCACAGTATGTGCAAGCTACCACAAAGATTTTTAACTGTAGCAGTGAATGGGAATGCTGTTTATTAACACAGGAAGTAGAAAAAGGGAAAGATGTATCAGGAATAAGGATGTTTGTAGAAATAAACACAAAATATTTTTATATCCTTGTGAAGATAATTACCAGGAAGGTACTGCTGTCAATATTTTCCTGAAATTCTGGTCCATTGGCTGTGTGATTAACTATTTCCCCAACCCCTGTAACACAGTTATGTTCATAACGTTAGTACGTATTTGTATCTTATATTGTATCCTGTATGATCTAAATCACTCTTGTCTCTTACCCTAAAAGTTTAAGTATTTGGGCTGAAATGAGGTTTTATGCTTCCCTAACAGGCTCAGTGGTGCTATTGAAGTCCTCGTAGTGGCCTCAGTGATTACAACCACTACGGAGTCTTAGGAGAATTCCGTAGTTGATGATGCTACAATAGTAAGTGCATTGAAGTATGCTGTCGTTCATGCATGCATGCATCCATCATCATCCATCCATTCATGCTGTGTGCAAAGTACTTTTGTTTTACAGCTGAACAAGGGACAGTAGAATTACTTTGTTTCTAGACGTAGATACCACAGAAAATCTTACACAAATATTTTACTTTCTTTTCAGAGATATTATTTCAATTTCAATTTCTGGAACCAAGATCACTTCTAGGGGAAAGGCAGATGTTAGGAGGAGTAATGAAGTGGTTACAAAGAGAAGCAAGTGTATAATATCTTAACTTACCACTATAGGTTGATCTCTGCCAGAGAAGTTGCCAGAAGTTTCTTGATTTTGATAGCCAGGTCCATCAAAGCCCACTGTTATTTTGCTGGCTGTGGCGTGCTCACGGAATGTGAGGATTAAGAGCAGAGTGTAAAGTCAGATGGCCACAGTTTATTTGCCCTGAACTTAGCGTGTGCACACTTGAATCAGTTACAGTGTGATCAAGTCTTAGGTACCCCCTCTGCAGATGAGATGAGAGCAACAATTAACGTGCTCACGTAACAGGCGAAGTGTCTAGCATCATGCCTGGCCTGTGGTATTAAACGTGCAGTGCCTGTTAGCAGTGGGGCAGTGAGTTATCGTGAAGCCTGATGGAGCTCATCTTCCTTAGGGTTTTATAGGACATTCAGGTACGATAACAGGTAAGTAGCTTGGAAATGTTACTTGTCCATTATGAATAAGATTCATTAGCTTTATTTCTAGTTTTAAAATTTTGTGCATTCTCTCTTGAAGATCCTTAGTCTGCGTGTATTTGGCTCTTTTGTTTTCCTGTGTATGCTGCTATCTGGTAGAAACATTTAGAGGTATCTTGGTATCATGTTTATTGAGAATAACCTGTCCTGCTTCTTTCCCATCTTATTTCCTATTTGGTTATGATTTTTAAATCTTATATTTGTTGCTTATATTTATATTTATTGTGTGATGTATGATTTGTTAGTGTGGATGCATGTGTAGTATACTTTGGTGGGTCTCTGGAGGTCAGCGAACGACTACCAGGAGTCGGTTTCTAGCCTTCCACTGTGGGGATAGACTCCGGTGGTCGGAATGTGCAGCAAGCGCTTTTTATAAGCCAGCTTATCCACTCTCCAGTTAAACTGTTTCACATGGGTCTAGTACCTCTCTTGCAAGACACTGCCCTGCGACAGTGATGGAGGTCACCCAGACAAGACAAGTGAAGCAGACACTGGAGAAAGATCAGGAACGTCCAGTAGAGGGAGGTGTAGGCAAAACAATCAAGCCACAGGATGTGCCGATGGAAACAGGCAACAGATTTTTTTAAAAATGCAGCTTTCCCTGTGGGGAGGATATTTGCCCCCAACTAGAAAGTAACTGAAACTCACCAGCACTGTGGCCTCTGTGCTGCTGGCTGCCAATCACAGACTTACGCAGACACAGGGCCCTGTGGGGACCTGGACATGGGCATTGCCCCACGGCCTTCTCACTTGCTGGATCACAGAAGGAAGTAAAGACAAGATCATTGGCCCTTCTCACTTTCTGTGAATCTCCAAAAGCAGCAAACTGTGGTTGTTACAGACTGAATCTCTCAGAAAAAACAAACAAACAAACAAAACCCACCTCAGCTGGATTTCTGTGATCAAAAACCAATTAGTTGTGGAACTCTGGACTGAATAATCTGGTTTTAACTCTAAAGAAATAAACTATGAGATTGAATCAAAATATGTAATCCTTTAAAAACTGACTATGGTTGAAAATGTGGTGCCATTTTAACTTAGGCCTCCAATACCCCAAATTTCTGGGGTGCTTGTAATTAAGCAAATGAATAGCATTTAGTTCAGGTCAAAATGGAATATTTTCAAGACTTTTCAGTAGGACAGCTAAGTTGATTCAGACACTTCCTTTTCCAACAGCAACATCACATTTCTTTCTGTTGGCAACATTGCCCAATAACTGACGAATATAATGGGCCCCTCTGCTCACTGCAACTTCATGCTTTTATTCTATCACACTCTAAGAAACTGCTCCCCTGGAACCTTCGGATGTTGAGACTGCTCTTAAACCTGAAAGTCTCACTTAATAGTTGACTGAGTGCCCCCCCATCATGTTTAAATATTTTGATGTCGATTTTATTACTTTTGGCTGCATCAGGAAATTCGGCTTGTACAATTTCCAAAAATCTTTATTAAATAAATTCACCCATGGTAACCTTGTGGTTTTCTTTTCTGTTTGATTCAAAAGTTGAAGTCACACATCTCTGCTATTTTTATGTTTAATAAAAAATTTAGCACACATTATACCACCAACTTAAGAGATACTAATTTTAAAAGGATATGAGTGGAGGCATATAGTTTTATTTAGAATTTGAAGCTATTTTTCAGTTACGTTGTTTTCAAGTTTTGTCAGAGAGCAGCAGTTTTCTTTGTGTTTAAGTGGATATTTTAAAATGGAATTGTGAGGGCCAGCTATGCTAGACGGGACGTCACGGAATACATATTACGGTGTTTGTTCGGTTTTGGTAGACTCAAAGTTGTTCCCTAGATTGTATGCTTCCCCTAAGTGAATGCTTCGCATACTTCAACAACTGGATTTGTTGGTTTTGTGAGCTTGCTTTTGTTTTTGTTACACGTTGATTTAGTTTTTAAAAACACCCTTTAATGAGTGGGCTCACTTGGACTGCTTTATCCGTTGAGGTTTTATGAACCATTATGGACAAATTGGAAAGAAAAAACCTTAGAAATAGATCGATGTCCCTTAACAATGGCATAGAAGAGTAAGACTGCAATACTATCAGTCAGGAGCAGGAGTAGAGGGTACAAAGACTGGCACCTTGAACTGCACAGGAGTCGGTCAGAAAAGACAGCTCATGAGTTAAATCACTACATTACTCTTCAGACTGAAAACCGCTGCTCTTGTTGCTCCTGGAAAACAAAGACCAAATTTTCATTTGATCTTTAAAAACATCATTGGAGAAAGTGCTCAAACCAGGTTTTGCAGAGGCCGATAATTTAAATAACAAGTTCAAAGGAGCTATTAGTGATATTGCCAGATCTGAAGTTAAAATCTTGTCAGTTGCCATAAAATCATCATGGTTCATTTGCTGCTTTAAAATCTTAAAAGAGTTTAGATATTAACTACTGCTCATCTTCCGTTTCTGTCCACTGTTTCAGGTTTTATTGATCTCCCCCAAGTCTTTTGTGAAACGTCTCAGAAGCTGATGAGCACGGAAGCCTTTGCTCTGGCCGCCAAGCACTACTCTGTGCAAAGCTTGGGGCTGTGTACTCCTTTTGAGCAGTTGCTTACCGCCCTTCGAGTAAACAAAGAGCAGAGAACTGGTATGTGTGATTGGGGCTGACGTATGCTTCTGCTTCTTAGGTTCTTAAAAGCAGTACGTGGCTCATGTATATGTCTATCCATTAATAATGTCTGAGTTTGTTGCTGGATATTCCAAGCACTGAGAAGTTAGCTCCTATGAGAAGAACAGGTTCTCTTATCCCGTATAAAGAGCATATACAGGTCTCTCTGCTTTTCCCTACATTAGTTCCTGGGTGTCTTTAGTTTCAAACAGTTTCAAACGCCAATGGATTGTGCTACTTACAGATGTCAGAACTCTTGCATTAGTTTTTACTGCAGTTAGATGATGATCTCTGTGGCTAGTTCTTTGGGGGGAACGTGGATGGTGGTTGCTGGGAAAATGGGGGAGACATAAGTATCAGAAAGTGGAGACAGCCAGAATTAAAACTCAGTTGGCAAGATAGATGGAAACTCATCTCCACAGTTACGTTAAATGCCAGTAGACACCGCAGTTAGACCGTAGCTATGAGGAGGCTGTGGCTTTAAAAGCCGACTGTTCTGTGCTGAGGAACCAGCTTTGGTAGTCGAGCCAGTGGGTTCAATAATAGTTACATTAATGCTAGAATAGGGAATACGTGACTTGATTTCTTGATTTAGCGTTTACCAAGTTTTTTGTTGTCTTGTCTCATTTGACCTTCATTATTTCATCAACTTTATTTTTTCTTCTTCTTTGTTTTGAAAGCTCTAAACTTACAGAACCATTACTTGAATACTACAGTGAATCTTGGATACTTTTTTTTTTTTTCAAGACAGGGTTTCTCTGTGTAGCTTTGCGCCTTTCCTGGATCTTGCTCTGTAGACCAGGCTGGCCTTGAACTCACAGTGCTCTGCCTCTGCCTCCCAGTGCTGGGAATAAGGCATGCGCCACCACCGCCCGGCTTAATCTTGGATGCTTTTGATCTAGAATTGCCGTGTTAAAAATCCTACCTGTTTGCTATAAGCATACTTTTTATAAATCTGGATCCTTTGACCATCAGTCACAGATACCATATTACCTGCAAGTATTTTAGCACGTATTCATAAGAACCAGGATGTATTTTTCCCACTCATCCTGTATTATGTCAATTCATTCAGGACTTTTTTTTTTTTTGTTTTTTTGAGACAGGGTTTCTCTGTGCAGCTTTGTGCCTTTCCTCTGTAGACCAGCTTGGCCTTGAACTCACAAAGATCTGGCCTGCCTCTGCCTCCCGAGTGCTGGGATTAAAGGCGTGCGCCGCCACCACTGCCACCACCGCCTGGCTCATTCAGGACTTTAACTTGCCTTTAGTAACATTATCTCATAAGCAGGCTGGATCCAAATTAGTTTTAGTGTTGCAGACATTACTTATAGCTTCTTTTTTCTTAAATTTTTTTTTAAGATTTATTTTATGTATATGAGTGTCTTGCTCACCTGCATGTTTGTGCACAAGTGTGTGCCTGGTGCACACACAGGTCAGAAGAGGGCCTCTGGAACAAGTTTGAAAAAGTAAAAACCGCCAAGGGGGGGGCAAAAAAGCGAAAAAATTGTTTCTTTTTCTCTTCTTTCATCTTATTTCTCCCGGCACTGATGAGTTGATGCATGCAGGAAGGTTTGATTATTTCCTATCAATAAGTCCAGCTTTACACTTTTAACTGGGATGCTAATTCAAGGACTTCTTTTTCCTGCTCCTGGTTAAGAGGCACATGTCATTTTGTGCTATTAGTGCTTACTGTTTGCAGGCCAAAGCGGATCCTCAGAAGCCCTTCATTGTAAAGCGGGCTTCTAGTCCCCCTTCTAGTCCAATTTTTTATTATTATTGTTGTTGTTTCCTTTATCTCTAAGTATTGTAATGAAAATTACTTTATTATGTTCCTCCTGGAGCAAAACAAAGGATTTGGGGGCTTCGTGGCTCTGGGTAAGGGCGCTCTGGCTGTAATTGAGTTCATCAGCAACATTGCTATCGGCAACGTAGCCACAACACTAAGTACTTCACCCCAGCTGTTTCTCACTGGCCACAGCTGAGTGAACTGGCCTTCCTTCTGCCCTCTGAAACTTGAGGATTGTATGTTGGGTATCAGAGTGAGCATATGCAAACGTGAAACCATCCCCAAGATCTAGGTGGGTATGGTCTTATGCCAGTAAAAGAAAGTTGCCTTGGAATTGAAGGGCTACTAGCTAGTGCCTGCTGTGCATGGAGGGAATGGACTCCCATCCTGGAGTGTGCCAGTTGATTTGTTTTCTGGGCCGGGATCTGTCAGCAGAATACCATTGTATAACAACCATGTACTCCTGGAAAGACCTTATTAGCAAGGTTCTTACATTTTTCCATAGAAGAGGAAAGAGGTTCAGCCTACAAGCAGGCATGTCACATGTGATCACTGCCATGACATAATAGGTTTGTTTATTTCTAGCCCAGCCCTAAATTTCAACTTGCCACCACCCAATTCCTACATGTCTGATTATTTGTTGAATACCTTGTTGGATGTGCTTTATATTCCATAAAATAGAGTGTGTACGTTAACATGCTGTGTTGTGGAATGTTCTCTGTTGCTGTACACTGTCTAGTGAAAATAGCTACATGTGGCTGTTAAGCTCTTCAGATGTGCTGCTATAGTTTGAAAGTTTAATTTGCATTTTGGCTTTGGTAATTTTAAGTGTAAGTGTAAATAGTTGTGTGGTTGGTGACCACTGTTTTGGGTAATGGAGGTAGAAAAATAGTTCATTTGTCTGTTCTTGTATTGGGCAGTGTTTTTCTTACTGGTGTATAGGAGTTGGTTTTATTTTCATCTGTGTGTATTAGAAATGTCTATTTTCACTTTCTTGCTTATCTTTTTACTCTGATAAAGCTGTTCTTTGAAACAGTTTTTTTTTTTGTAGTACAGCTTTTTCATTTATAGTTAACTACTTGTTATAACAAGAATGATTTTAATTATCTGTGGATATTTTTATTTTATCCAGTCTGAATCATACCCATTAAACTAGTAGAAACCACAGAGATATCACAGTAGAATTTCTGCCATTTTTACATTAATTTAAAAGGCTGTGAGTATCAGGTAACAACTCATTAAAATTCTCTTTAGTAGCAGTATTTTAATTTTCTTTATTTTCATTCAGGTGAAAATGTGAAGGCAATTAAGTTTATGAATACAAAAAAATCTCATGAGGTTCAGGCAATGTCAGAGCTAATCTGCAGTATTGCTGATTACTATGGTTTAAAGCAGGTAAGAGTATTTCCTTGTAAGTACATCCTATTTTTTGTATCACTCAGATTTCATTTTCTACTTTTACCTTTTATTGGACTGTTGTTCTCCACCCCATCTCCTCTTTTTGACTTTCCTTTCAGTGTTTATTTCACTTGCCAAAGAGACCACATGCAGCACTCAATTCTTCTTTAGAGATCTGCCACTAAGCTATACCAAGCTAGAATAAGGTAAAGGCTATTTACTGCAGTATTGTCCTTCATAACTTTATGCATTTGCATTTATATGGAATACTTTGTAAACCAGTGTTGTGGTTAGAATGTGAGACGCCACCAATAGGCTCATGTATCTGAATACCTGGTCCGTCCTGAGTTGGTGATGCTGTCTGTGGAGATTATGGAGTCTTTAGGAGGTGGAGCCTCCTGGAGGAACTGTGTCACTGGGGATGAGTCGGGGGTTTGTAGCCTGGCCCCTTTCCCTTCGTCCCTCTTACTGTGTTTCCT